GTAATGAGAAGGGTACTCATTTTATACACTGGTAGTTTAGATCTGTGAGTTGTCTTATGTTAATGTAATATCTAGCTAGACTCTGCATTTGGGAAGCCTTTTATCTAAGGATAAGCTTAGCTTTTAATAAAATAGAACAGGAATGGAGTGGTAAAGTATCTTACTTGGTAACTAAGGTACTGCAAGTGTACTGTCAAAATCTGAGTTTTTAAAATCACTTCTAGCAGAAAGACCTTAATTAAAAGTAACAACATATAAATAAAGTTGTCCTGGTTTCAGCCAGGATAGAGCTGGTTTTCTTCACAGAGGCTAGTGTGAGGATGTGGTTTTGATTTTGGATGAGATGCTGATGTTTTGGGTTCTTGCTGAGCAGTCAAGGACAGTCCAGCTTCTTGTGCTGGCCTGCCAGCGAGCAGGCTGGGGATGCACGGGAAGCTGGGAGGGGACACAGCCGGGACAGCTGACCCAGACTGGCCAAAGAGATATTCCCTACCATACGACGTCATGCCCAGTACATAAACTGGAGTTGGCCGGGGGGCGGAAATCGCTGCTCGGGGATGGGCTGTCGATCAGCGGGTGGTGAGCAATTGCTGTATTGGGCATCACTTGTTCTTGTACATTCCTGTGTTGGTATTATCATTGTTGTTTCCTTCTCTCTTTCTGTCCTATTAAACCGTGTTTATCTCAACCCATGAGGTTTTTTTTTCCTAATTCTCTCCCCCATCCCACTGCGGGAAGGGGAGTGAGTGAGCGGCTGCGTGGTGCTTAGTTGCCAGCTCGGGCTAAACCATGACAAAAGTGAACAAAGCAGTTTTCGTTTATGAGACCTTGTTCTTCTGTACTGTCCAGTGGAATTGGGTTAAAGCTGCAGTAAAGCTAAAATACCAATCCAAATTGAAGTTCAGACTAATAGTATCAGCAAAGATGTCGATATTAATTTAAAAATTGTTTAAGAGTAGTGCTGACTATATCACTTCTTAGTTCATATGCAGAAAGAAATGAAGTAAATGAAATGTAAAAGTAAATGTAAAAGTAAAGTAAATGAAGTAAAGTAAATGAAAGAAAAGAAGGTCTTATATCAAAAGGTCGTACAACTTCATGTAGCAAAACATTTTCAGGAAGCAAGAACTTGTTAGCCTTACCATGAATTTGATTAGAACTTTACTTGGCAAAAACAGTTCCTGATAGTAAAAATCCAGTTGCCCAACTGTTTTGGGAAGCCTCCGGGGGGTAGGGGTGGCAGTAGCATTTCATTTGCTGTAGGAACTATCTCCTACTTCCCTGTAGTTATCCAAACATACCTGTCTATTTTTACCCTTTAGACAAAGTTAAAATCTTAAACCTAAATCTCAGTGTATTTTGTTCTTATTATTATTGCTTATACTTTCATGGAGGAGTCTTCTGGCTCCTTTTGAAAAAGACTACTAAAAAAGCAATGATAATTGTTACATAATTGTAAGATTAAATAGGAAAAAGCTATTGATAACAGCAGAAGTAGATAAACAGGAAGTCTAAAGCTTTTAAAGACTTATTCTAATGTGATTTAAACATAGTAACATGGGAAACTTATAATTTTGGGTTCAAGTGATCAAATTTGAATAAATATACTCTCCCCTCTCTCCCCTTCCCTTATAGGCAAAAATGTTATTCATCAGTTGTCGATAACCTTAGAAGATCTGTATAACGGTGCAACAAGAAAGCTGGCTTTGCAAAAGAATGTGATCTGTGACAAATGTGAAGGTAACTTCAACACTAAAACTAGACATTAGTTATTTCTGAAGCTCCAAATGTATTTTGACCTTCTAGTTTCTTCTGAAAATATAACTGATTCTCACTCTGTTGTCAGGTCGTGGTGGTAGGAAGGGTGCAATAGAATGCTGTCCCAATTGCAGAGGCACAGGCATGCAAATCAGAATTCACCAGATTGGTCCAGGAATGGTGCAGCAGATTCAATCTGTATGTATTGAGTGTCAGGGGCATGGGGAGCGTATCAGCCCCAAGGACCAGTGCAAGAGCTGCACTGGCAGAAAAATTGTTAGAGAGAAGACGATTCTAGAAGTTCACATTGACAAAGGTAAGGGTTTTACTAACTTGGAGTATTATATTTAAGTAGATTGTCATTAGGGTTGGTGGTTTGTGGGGGTTTTTTAGGACTAAAACAGGAGCTTCAGCAAATGCATGGTGTTGATCACTTGTTATAATGAGTAACACTCTTGGATATGCATTCAGTACAATAGCCTGCTCCTGCTCTTTAAAGGTAGACTTGTCTTTAAGCAAGGGTGATTACTTGTTTATTAGTGCCCACTTACTATATACATTACTAAGTGTTGCCTTCGCAGGCGTGGCGACCTGGT